CCAGGGTGAGGAGCTGGGGATGGGCAGGAACCCAGGGTAGGAGCCCAGGGTGAGGAACTGGAGGAGCCCAGAAGCCCAGGGTGAGGAGCCCAGTGCTGGAGCCCAGGATGGCCAGGCAGGAGCCCAGGGTGAGGAGCTGGGAGTGGGCAGGAGCCCAGGGTGAGGATCTGGCCAGGCAGGAGCCCAGGGTGGGCAGGGGCCCAGGGCAGGAGCTCAGGGCAGGGAACTGGAGGTGGGCAGGAGCTCAGGGCAGGAGCCCAGGGTGAGGAACTGGAGGTAGCAGGGGCCCAGGGCAGGGAGATGAGGCTGGCAGGGCCCAGGGCAGGAGTTCAGGGCAGGGAGCTGAGGGTGGCAGGGCCCAGGGCAGGGGCTCAGGGCAGGGAGCTGAGGGTGGCAGGGCCCAGGGCAGGGGCTCAGGGCAGGGAGCTGAGGGTGGCAGGGCCCAGGGCAGGGGCCCAGGGCAGGGGCTCAGGGCAGGGAGCTGAGGGTGGCAGGGCCCAGGGCAGGGGCTCAGGGCAGGGAGCTGAGGGTGGCAAGGCCCAGGGCAGGGGCTCAGGGTGGGCAGGGTCTCAGGGCAGGGAGCTGAGCGTGGCAGGGCCCAGGGCAGGGGCTCAGGGCAGGGAGCTGAGGGTGGCAGGGCCCAGGGCAGGGGCTCAGGGCAGGGAGCTGAGGGTGGCAGGGGCCCAGGGTGGGCAGGGGCTCAGGGCAGGGAGCTGAGGGTGGCAGGGCCCAGGGCAGGGGCTCAGGGCAGGGAGCTGAGGGTGGCAGGGGCCCAGGGCAGGGGCCCAGGGTGGGCAGGGTCTCAGGGCAGGGAGCTGAGGGTGGCAGGGCCCAGGGCAGGCAGTTGCAGCAGGGGCAGATCCGGTGTCCAGACCGGGGGAGCCCTCGGAGCATTCAGGGGGCGCTGGAGCCGCCCGAGCCGCCCGAGAGCCCCGAGCCCCCCGGGCCCATGTGGGGCACGGCCAGCCCTGCCTGGGGGCGCTCGGCTGCCCCGAGGATGCTCCCGGCTCTCAGGGGAGCCCAAACCCCTCTGCCCGGCTGGGCCTGGGCTGGCGCTGCCCCACGGAGCCCAGGGAGTCTCCAGACACAAAGACCCCTTGGAAAGGCTCCTGCAGAGTCTCCGGGGCCGGGGAGAGACCCCAAAGAGAGCCCCAAAAGCGGGGCAGCACCGGGCGGCGGGGGCAGCTGGACACGGATCACGGATTTCCTCCCGCTCCTGGTGACGACAGAATTCCCCCCAGGAGGGCAATCCCGCCTCCTCGGCAGCCAGGAGCCCCTTCTGGCCCGGGGGATGCGGTGCCAGCGCCTGCTCCGGGCTTGGCTCGGCCGCGGTCACGCTGCCATTACCTCATGAGTGCTGTCACCTGCACACACACGGCTCACTCCAAACCGCCCCGGTTTGGCACATAAAAACAGGACAGAAGAGCTTTCAAATGGAAATCTCTGCTCCTATCGGGGTTAAAGGATGAAGGCATTCATCCAGGGGAGGTGGGACATGAGGCAAGACCTCTGCAGCCACTCCTGCACAGGTTTATAACCCACACAATGCTGGTTTTCTCCCCGGGGAGCTGAACCATTGCCACTGTTTCAGGACCAGCCCTGAGGGTGAGGGGAGGTTTGTGAGAGCATGGCTGTGGCAGGGAGGCTCCCGCGGTGCTGTCCCAAAGGAGGGACGGTGTTTTCCATGTCTGGGAGGGAAGGGGAGCAGAGCTGTCCCAGGGTGTGCATGGCAGAGATCCTGCACATGCTCTGGCTGACACCCCTGACAGCAAAATGGGCACAGCCAAATAGCCCAGAGTGACCAAGGCCTGGCGGCCCCCGTGATGCAGCCAGGGAGAGGTGCAGAGGAGATCCAGGAGTGCCAGGCCCTCCCCTGGCTGGATCCAGCACATCCCTCACAGCAGGCTGGGCTTGTCTTCAGTGCCACAGGGGAATATTTCCAGCCTGGCCTCCATCCTGGTCCCCACAATGTCCTGAAGCTCCAGATTCCAGGGTCACTGAGCACTGCAGGGTGAAATTTTGCCTTTGATTTACTGAAACCGAGGGTCTGACCATTGCCCTGGGCTCCCCTCATCTCCTGTGAGGAGACAAACAGGGAATAATGGGAGATAAACAGGGAATAATGGGAGACAAACAGGGAGTAATGGGATGCCACGGAACATTTCCACACTCAGGGCACTGCCTGCACCTCTGCATCCCCTCTTTTATTCGCAGCCCGACCCTCAGGGCTCATTCCCTGAGTGCCCAGGGCGTTGCTGCCTCCTGGCCCCTGTGCCAGGGCTCTGGGTGCGTTTGCAGAGGCAGCAGCTGTCCCAGTGAGGGGAGGTGCTGTGAGACACCAATCCTGGGGATCTGCCCAAGGTGAGGCTGTGACTCATCCTGGAGCCAGGAATAGCTCGGGATCGGGGCTGTCACCTGCTGCTGCCAGCTGGGCACGGCCCTGGGCACGGGCACAGCACATCTGGGACACAGCCCCAGCACATCTGGGGCACACCTGGCCTGCCAGCCGGGCTGTAAGCACTTGGAGGCAGGGAAGCAGGAATTTAACGAGGGGTCTCCTCCTCTATTCCAGCCCCTTGCATGCACAGCCCCCTCCTGCACACCCAGCTCACCTGAGCTGTTGGGTGCTCTATGAACAGGGTTTTGTACCCTCTGTGTGCTCTATGAACAGGGGTTTGTACCCTCAGTGTGTTCTGTGAACAGGGGTTTGTACCCCTGCTGAGTGCTCTATGAACAGGGGTTTGTACCCTCTGTGTGCTCTGTGAACAGGGTGTTGTACCCCTCTGTGTGCTCTATGAACAGGGGTTTGTACCCTCAGTGTGTTCTGTGAACAGGGGTTTGTACCCCTCTGTGTGCTCTATGAACAGGGGTTTGCATCCCTCTGTGTGCTCTTTGAACAAATATGAAGCCCAAATATTTGCCTGAACATTCTTCACAGCGGGTTTGGGCCCAGCAGCCAAAATGCCCCAGCAAACCTTCCATCCCCAGCCCAGCCATGCTGGAGGCTGGTGACAATCCCAGAGCATCCCTGCCTGGCCAGGGTCACCTGGAGATGATCCCTGCCTGTTCAGCATCAGCTGGAGATCCCTGCCCATCCAGGGTCAGCTGGAGATCCCTGCCTGTTCAGGGTCACCTGGAGATCCCTGCCTGGCCAGGGTCAGCTCCAGATCAGTGCTGGAGCTCTGGAAGCAGCCCAGCAGGGCGGGCAGCATGGCCCAGGCTGGCAGAGCCTTCACCCCAGCACAGGCTGAGGATGCTCGGGGCGGAGGCGCTGCCAGGATCCCTCAAATCCCGCTGAGCCCGCTCGGAAAGCTCCCCCTGGACACGGTGGGCTTGGCAGGAGGATGGATCTGCCTTCCCCAGCCCAGCTCCGAGCCAGGGGCTGCAATGGATGAGCTCCAGCAGGCTGTGCCTGCTCCTCTGTGCCTGCTGAGCCTGTTCCTCTGTGCCTGTTCCTCTGTCCCTGCTCCTCCTGAGCCTGCTCCTCCTGTCCCTGCTCTCCTGTCCCTTCTCCTCTGTGCCCGCTCCTCCTGAGCCTGCTCCTTCTGTCCCTGCTCCTTCTGTCCCTGCTCCTCTACCCCTGCTCCTCCTGAGCCTGTTCCTCTGTCCCTGCTCCTTCTGTCCCTGCTGCTCTGTCCCTGCTCCTCTGTCCCTGTTCCTCTATCCCTGCTCTCCTCTCTCCCTGCTCTCCTGTCCCTGCTTCTCTGTGCTTGCTCCTCTGTCCCTGCTCTCCTGTCCCTGCTCCTCTGTCCCTGCTCTCCTGTCCCTGCTCCTCTGTGCCTGTTCCTCTATCCCTGCTCTCCTGTCCCTGCTCTCCTGTCCCTGCTCTCCTGTCCCTGCTCCTCCGGGCCGCTCGGATGCCGCAGGAGGGGCCGGCATCCCCTCCCGCTCCCATCCAACAGCCACCGCATGCCGGCAGAGAGCATCCAAAATCCAGCCGGAGAGGAGGGGAGGGCAGGGCAGGGGGGAGGAAGAGCAAACCCGGCACCTTTGGCGCTTCTAGAAGGAGCAAGAGCAACAAAAGCCATTCACGGGGAAAAAATAGCGCGGGGAGAAGGAGAGCCTGGGGAGATGCAAATCCGGGAGAGCAGCAGCCAGCCCACGGTGGGACAGGAGCCAAGGCTGCGGAGCAAGGGCCGGAGCCGCGGGGATGCCCCCAAAGGCCGGGGGGAGCCAAGGCTGCGATCCTGGGCTCGTTCTGCACACCCGGGGCTGGCACACGCGTGTGCACACCTGCGGCTGCGGGAGGGGATGCTGGGCACACGCGCGCACCGAGCGGCAGAGATTTGTTAAAAATATCGCGATTATTAGTTAAAAAGAGAGAAGGAAGGGGGGGAAAAATGAAAAACAGAGCGAGAGAAAAGGGGGAGGGGAGCAGGGAAGGGGGAGGGAAGGGCATCGCGTCACGGGAGAGATTTCCTTATTGGGACTCCCTAGCCTACATCCTGAGTCCATATATGGGCATTTACGTCACGGCAGCCTCACTGGGGACTCCAGAAATGGCTGCGGCGGAAGGTCGGAGCAGCCCCGCTCCCGCTATAAAGGGGGCGGCGGGGAGGGAGCGCCGGGTGTCCGCTCGGGCTGCGCCGCCGCCGCCGCCGGGCCCTGCCTGCGCCCCCCGCCCGGGCCCTGCCCCCGCAGCGCCCCCGCAGCGCCCGGGCCCCCCGCCCCAGCACCCCCCGCACCCCTCAGCATCACCTGCAGGGTCCCCGGCACCTGCCCCGGGCACCCCTCGCACCGGCCCGGGCTCGCCGAGCGTGGCCCGGCTCATCCCCGAGCATCCCCGGGATCGGGGCGGGCGCCCCGAGCGCTCCCAGCTCATCCCGGGCTCGCCCCGAGCATCCCCGGGCTCGCCTGCAGCGTCTCCCGCCTCGCCCCTGAGCAGCCAGCGGCTCTCCCCGGGCATTCCCCGGCTCATCCCGGGCTCCTCCCGGCTCTCCCCAAGCATCCCCGGCTCGTCCCAGCCCGGCCCCCCCGCTCCGGCCGCGTCTCCAGGGAAGATGCTCAACGTTATGGATTTCTCCTGCCCGGATCCGCTTTACTCCAAGTACGAGGAGAGCTGCGAGATGAAAACCGGAGACCTGCAGGGCTTGGGGCAGCCCGAGCAGCAACTTCTGGCAGAGGCCGATTTCCTTGGAGGTAAGGGCGGGCGGGAGCCGGGCAGGGATGAGGGACCCCGCTGGGAATGATCGCCGCATGCAGGAGCCGGGAACCTGCCCCTCCTCCGCCCTCAGCCCTGCCTGGGGGTGCAGCGGCCCCGCGAGCTCAGGGCGGGGGTCCTGAGGGTCCCGGGGGGGAGGGGGGTGAGCCCAGGGCTCCCTGAGCGGTTTCGGGGACGGAGACCTCGGAGTGACGCAAGAGCTCCCGCTGCTCCCGCATCCCGCCCCCGGCCCCGCGTGCCTGCAGCCCTCTCACCGCCGTCCCCTCTGTTCCCCAGGTGAGCTGCTGGGTGTCCCCGGTAGCGGCGGGGCCGTGGATTACTCCCTGCTGGGCAGCCAGCCCTCCCCTTCCCTCAGCTACACCGGCAGCTTCTTCATCAAGGCGGTACCGGAGCACCCGCAGGACCAGGAATCCCTCTTCAACCTGATGTCGGGCATCCTGGGCATCTCCCCCTTCGCCTCCTCCGAGGGCCACCAGAGGCACCTGGACGCTCTTTACCCCTGTCCCGAGGTGGCTCCGAGCCAGCTGGACCTGTACCCGTCGTGCCAGCCCGAGATGAGCGGGTCCAGCCCGGCCCCGTTCCCGGAGCCGGGCTACGGCGCCTTCCCCGCGGCCGAGGGCGCTCAGCCCCTGCCGGGAAACACCTCCCAGTGCTTCTTCCAGCCCAAGCTCCTGGACAGCAAGCAGGACGTCAAGCTGTCCTCCGCCTCCCCGCCCCTGGACAAGTTCAAAGGCGCCTGTGCCCAGTGGGAGCCGCTCTCCCAGCAGCACCAGGCCTACCTGCCCGCCGCCTTCCCCTCTCCCGAGGGCTTCCCGGCCCCCGAGAGCAGCCAGGGGCTGTTCCCCGCGCTGGGCTCCAAGATGGAGAGCGTCTTGTCCGTCAGCTGCCAGCCGGAGCTCGGCAGCCTGGCAGAGGACGCCGCCTGCTTCGGAGCCCATCTGGGCTTCGGCTGCGAGCCAGAGAACTTCCCGGCCCGCGGGGACTTCGCCGACAGCAAGATCCACGCCCTGCCCACGCCGCTGATGCCGGACTTCGACGCCTCCTTGGCCCAGCCCGAGGTGCTGCCGGGCCTGCTGGGCTCGGCCGAGCTGCTCCATCCTCACCCGTCTCCCTCCGTGCCGCCCCCGGAGTTCCTGGGCCCGGCCCCGCCGCTGCCCTCGCTGCTGCCCCCCGGCCCTGCCGCGCTGGCCGAGCCCAAGAAGAAGGCTCGGCGCAGCAAGTGCTCCTCCAAGTGCTTCTGCCCCAAGCCCCACGAGAAGGCGTTCGCCTGCCCGGTGGAGAACTGCGTCCGCAGCTTCGCCCGCTCCGACGAGCTCAACCGGCACCTGCGCATCCACACGGGCCACAAGCCCTTCCAGTGCCGCATCTGCCTGCGCAACTTCAGCCGCAGCGACCACCTCACCACGCACATCCGCACGCACACGGGCGAGAAGCCCTTCTCGTGCGACACCTGCGGCCGCCGCTTCGCCCGCTCGGACGAGAAGAAGCGGCACAGCAAGGTGCACCTCAAGCAGAAGGCGCGGAGCGAGGAGAAGCTCAAGGGCTTGGGTTTCTTCTCGGTGGGGCTCTCGTTCGGCCCGCTCTGAGCGCGGCCCGAGCGCGGCCAGCGGCGTTGCCGAGGTGCCCGAGCTCTCACGGAGAGCCGGGATGGGCCGGGGGTCCCTTCCGGGCGGCCCCAGAGGGGCGGCGGCGGAGCCGGGCCGGGCCCAGGGAGGCGAGGCGGAGCTCCCGGCGGGGACGGCAGCGGAGCCGCCCCGGAGCGCGGCACTGAGCCATCCCACAGCCCCTGTTCCGAGGAGGGCAACGGGGAGCCCCTGGACAGACGGACAGACGGACAGAGATCGCCACCGACGGGGTGCGTTGGACACTCGGCGCTGGGAGCGCCCCGCTGGGATTTCTTTCCCCAGGGCAGCGCTTCCCAGGATGTTCCTGCCTGGAGATTTCCCGGCCGGCACGGTCGGGGCTGCGGCTGCTCCCGTCCTTTCTCCCCAGGGAGAGAGAACCCGCCGGGCTCTGGCAAACGGTGCTAACAGGCCCTTGGGAAAGGTGATTTCAGTACTATTATTATTATTATTATTATTATTATTATTATTATTATTATTATGTTTGTAAAAAGAAAAGGCCTCTATCAGGAATATTTCAAATTTGTGTCTATTTTTCTAATTAAAGATTCGAGCTGATCCAAGCCCTCGCTGGGGTTGCCCTCTGCCTTTCCATCCTTTCCATTTCCGTTGGGTTTTTGACCTTTGCTGCTGCTGCATTTTGGGGAAAAAAAAAAATGGTGCTTCCATAATTAGCAAGGAGAAAAAAATCCATCAGTGCAGAGAGCTCCTGAGCGTCCCCAGACCGCAGGTGGGGCTCATCCCGGGAGGAGGGCTCCATCCCGGGCCAGAGCAGGGATCCCTGGGCTGCGTCTCCCTCCAGACACAGGACGTGGCTCTGGGATGTTCTGATGGGGCTGGTCCTGGAGGAATCTGCTCCTCTCCCCTGGGGCCCCCAAAGGCCAGCCCAGAGCCCCCGTTCCGGGATCCTGGCTCCCAGTGGGATGTGGATGTCCCACACTTCACCCTCAGGGAATGGGATGAGGTCCCCGTTCCCCATTTCCAGCCTGGCCCAGCCCCAGGGTTGGAGAGATCCAGGCAGGCAGGATGGGGAGCCCTGCACAAGGAGAGGCTGTTTGTCCCTCCCTTTTGGGATTTTAGATGGTCGAGGGATGCTGGTTCTCCTCTCCGGGAATGGCTCAGGAGACGCTGCTGCAGCCAGGAATGTCCCTCTCATGAAGAACCTCCCTCCTGTGGTGGTTAAAAATCAGTCACAATCCCGAAATCCCACAATCCCGCCCTTCCAGGGGAGGTGCTCGATGGGGCACGCCGAGCTTTGGCTAATCTCGTTCATCGGGAGAAGGTGCGGTGGGATGGAGGCAGCAGGGCCAGGGCCATTGTCATGGATGCTCAGGTGATTTAGGGGTGATGCTCCTTTGCTGGCAGAGGGAGGGGAGGGGCACAGCTGCGAGCTGCTCTTTCCTTTTCTGATGGATTTTGTCCCCTCCAGCAGCCCTGGAGGGGGGATCTGCCCCCCAGCCATATCATGAAGGAGACAGGGGTAACCCTGTTTTATTACCTCATGCCCCTCATCCCTTTGTCTGCATGTGGGCTGCAGCATTCTGGGGCTAAACACCTGTAATCCCAGAAAATCCAGGGTCCCAGGTAAAATCCAGTGTCCCAGTAATCCCAGAAAATCCAGGGTCCCAGGCATCCCAGAAAATCCAGTGTCCCAGTAATCCCAGCAGAACCCAGTGTCCCAGGTGTCCCAGCAGAACCCAGTGTCCCAGGTATCCCAGGTAAAATCCAGTGTCGCAGGTGTCCCAGCAGAACCCAGTGTCCCAGTAATCCCAGCAGAACCCAGTGTCCCAGTAACCCCAGTAGAACCCAGTGTCCCAGCAGAACCCAGGGTCCCAGGTGTCCCAGTAGAACTCAGTATCCCAGGTAAAATCCAGTGTCCCAGGTGTCCCAGCAGAATCTGAGCTTCCATGGGCTGTGGAGGCCCTGTGGAGCTGGGGGGAAGCTGGGCAGGCCATGGTGGGGTTGGTGGCAGAGATGGGATGTGGGAAGGGGCCAGGAGGGAACCTGACTGAGGGGGATATCCCGAATTTTCCCTCAGATGTATCCCTAAGTTCTCACACCCCAATAGCACCCAAGGGTGCTGGTGGCCCTCGGGTGAGCCCTCCCAGGGTGTGGGAGCCCAATCCTGAGCCAGGACCACTCCAAGGGGTGCAGGTGACCCCAAACACCTGGGAAAACCTTTTCTGGGGGGGCAGCCCAGCTTTATGGTCAATAAGGGGCCCAGGTTTCCTTTGGGAGGGGCTGGGCTGGGCCCTCTCTGGGGATGCAGGATCCTGCTGGGCAGCAGAGCCGAGCTCTCCCTGCACCTCTGGCCATCAATGATGCACGAGGCCTTGATTAATACCCCTCAGGAGAACATCCATAATTGATGGGAGCCTGGAGCCCTGCAGAGGCACCGCTCCAGCCTTGGCCCTCTGCTCCTCTGGCAGCGCTGCCAGGGAGGTGGGAGGGATGGGGCACACACCAGAGCCATTCCAGAGCCTCCCCAGAGCCACCCAAGAGCCACCCCAGAGCCACCCCACACACCCCAGAGCCACCCCAGAGCCACCCCACACACCCCAGAGCCTCCCCAGAGCCACCCCACACACCCAGAGCCACCCCACACACCCCAGAGCCTCCCCAGAGCCTCCCCAGAGCCACCCCACACACCCCAGAGCCACCCCACGCACCCCAGAGCCACCCCACACACCCCACACACCCCACAGCCTCTGGGGCAGGTGCTCTGGGCTGGGCTGGCACTGGGCATGCGTGCAGGGGGACAGCAGCAGTGTCACCTTGGGTCCCAGGGGATGGGGACACCCTCCTGCCCCCGTGTCAGCAGCACCCTGGGCCCAGCATTGCCATCCCCTGTGCCCACCCCGTGCCCGCCTCAGAGAAGGAACATGGCAGTGCTGGATGCCTTTGGCACAGGCACCAGGCTGAGGGGCTCAGGAGCTGGATCAGGACCAAGCCAGGCTTAAACCAGAGCGCTCAGGGACCAGCTGGGCATGGAGCCAAAAGGGGATGCTCAGGACTGAGCCAGGACCAAGGCAGGGATTAACCAGGGCAGCCTTGGAGCCAAGCAGGACCAAGGCAGGGATTAACCAGGGCAGCCTTGGAGCAGAGCAGGACCAAGGCAGGGATTAACAAGGGCAGCCTTAGACCCAAGCAGGACCAAGGCAGGGATTAACCAGGGCAGCCTTGGAGCCAAGCAGGACCAAGGCAGGGATTAACCAGGGCAGCCTTAGACCCAAGCAGGACCAAGGCAGGGATTAACCAGGGCAGCCTTGGAGCAGAGCGGGACCAAGGCAGGGATTAACCAGGGCAGCCTTGGAGCAGAGCAGGACCAAGGCAGGGATTAACCAGGGCAGCCTTGGAGCCAAGCAGGACCAAGGCAGGGATTAACCAGGACAGCCTTGGAGCCAAGCAGGACCAAGCTGGGAACCAGCCCAGGGTGACCGCAGGGGGGCTGGACTGGGACCAGAGCAGGGGCTTGGGGACCACCCAGGGACCAAACTGGGGCATTCAGGGACCAGAGCAGGACCAAGCTGGAAACCAGCCCAGGGTACTCGGAGACTGGACCAGGACCAAGGCAGGGACTAAGCCAGGATTAAGCCAGGGACACAATCAGGACCAAGGCAGAATACTCAGGGACTCAATGGGGATCAAGCTAGGGATGAGGACAGGGTGATCAGGGACTGTCCTGGGACCAAACCCGTGTCCTGGCACCTGTGCCCAGCCTGGGATGGGGCAGGAGCAGTGCAGGTGCCCAGGCTGGGCCCCAAACCAGTGCTGCAATCCCGGGAGGATGCCCCAGGGGATCCCAGCTGGGGGCTGCCAGGGGTGATGGGCACAGGGGATCCCAGCTGGGGGCTGCCAGGGGCATGGGCACAGGGGATCCAGGGGCTGCCAGGGGCGGGGGGCACAGGGGATCCAGGGGCTGCCAGGGGCGATGGGCACAGGGGATCCAGGGGCTGCCAGGGGCGGGGGGCACAGGGGATCCAGGGGCTGCCAGGGGCGATGGGCACAGGGGGATCCAGGGGCTGCCAGGGGCGGTGGGCACAGGGGGATCCAGGGCCTGCCAGGGGCGATGGGCACAGGGGGATCCAGGGCCTGCCAGGGGCGATGGGCACAGGGGTCCGGGCCGGGGGCTGCCATGGCAGCCGGGCCCGCCGTGTTCGTGGGGAGACAGGCAGAGGGAGCTGTGCGGGAGGAACCGGCAGCGAGCAGCCCCGGCTCCGGCTGCAGGGGAGGAGGCGGCTGCCGGCGCTCGCCCTCCGCCTCCCTCCGTCCCTGCATCCTCCCTCGCCGTGCTGAGCCCCCAGCGCCCCGGGCACCCGCCATCCCCAGGGTGCCCAGCACCCTCCCAGCACCCCGCCGGGGCCTTCAGCCTCGGCTTCCTTCCTTCCTCCTCCTCCTCCGCGTCCTCCTCCTCCCCCCCACCCCGCAGCCACCACCCTCCCTCCCTCCTTCCCTCCCTCCTTCCCCGGGGCCTGCCTGGCATGGAGCTGCTGGCCGCGGGGAGCATCCCCGGTGCCCCGCATCCCCGTGGCCGCATCCCCCGTGCCCCGCATCCCCCCGCCCCGGCGCAGCGCTGAGCCGCCCGCAGCCGCCTCCTTTGTGCGGCGGAGCGGCTGTGCGGGCTCCGGCCCCCACCCCGCAGCCCCCGGCTCGGGGCTGGCCCGCGGGCGAGCGGGAGAGATGCTGCCCTGGCCGGAGCAGCCCAGCGCCGGAGGTCGGCGGCCAGAAGCAGGTACGGGGCGGCAGGGGATGGGATGGAGCGGCGATGGTGCCCTGGGAGGCGGCGGCTCGTCCCCAGGATGCTCCTCACCCAGGGCCCCCGGGAGCAGCGGGACGCGGCGGGGACAAAGCCGCTGCCAGGCTGTGAGGACGGACCCGCCGCTCCCTGCTCCAGGGGCTGGGGGGGAAAAAAACCCATCCGGATTTTCATGCCCACCTCCCCCGGACCCTCTGTGCCTCAGCCCCTCGCCCACCACGGTGCTCCCACCCCGCTGGAGCGCGGGGAAAGATGGGGACCGGCGGCACGGGCAGCGTCCTCCATCCAGCCCGGTATCTCCATCCAGCCCGGCATCATCATCCACCCCAGCATCCCCCTCCATCCACCCCAGCATCCCCCTCCATCCACCCCGGCATCGCTCTCCATCCACCCCGGCATCCCCCTCCATCCACCCCGGCATCCCCCTCCATCCACCCCGGCATCGCTCTCCATCCACCCCGGCATCGCTCTCCATCCACCCCGGCATCGCTCTCCATTCACCCCGGCATCGCCCCGCTCCCGCAGCAGCCCCACACCTCTCCTGTCCATCCCCTCCCTCTCCAGCCAGGCAGGGAGCTGCCTGCCGGTGGTATTTCGGGGCTGGGTGGGCAGAGGAGCGTTGAACAATGCCCGGGAAGGCAGGCAGGCTCCATGATGGAGGGCAGGTAGCAGCCCGGGGATGCTGCAGTCCCGGCGGCGTTTCCCGGCTCCGGATGCCCGTGGGGTTTATTAGCGTGCTAACGACTGCACGAACCATCCCCTCAAATCCCGGCTGTTGCCGTGGAGATGGGAGCGAGGCGAGGTTTGCGGCCGGGGTAGGACCTGCCCAGCCCCAGGAGCGCTTCCCGATCCACCCGGGCCGATGCCGCCGTGGATTTCGGCCGGGAAATTCGGGCTGAGGCTGCTCGGGTGCCCCGGGAGAGGCGGGCAGGGACCCAGGCCCGCGGCAGCACGGCACCATTCCCCGTCCCTGCGCTGCAAAAGCGCTTTCTCATCCCCCGGAGCTGCCGGCCGTGCTTTGTGCTCGCCGCGGTTCGGGTTCCGGCCGGGCCGGGCCGGTGCTGGGGTTGATGTGGGAGGGTGTGTTTGGTGACGGCCCCAAAACGCAGCCAAGCGGGTCACACACCCTCCCGACTCATCCCGGGTTTATTTCTGGCGTGGATTTCTCGCCTTTGCTGATTTTTGCCTTAAAAAATGGTTTCCAAGCCTCGTGGCCTGGTTGTCCCTCTGAGGGGATGCTGAGCCACCAGGGATGCTGCCCTGGGACCAGCAGGGGTGGATGGAGGTTCCGTGCCAGTTCAGGGCTCGCCAACTGGTGTTGTGGGATGCAGGAGGGCCCTGAGGGCTTTTAGGGTGGTGGGATATATCCCCCTTTGTGGGATAGTGCAGAGGGATGAGCTGGGGTTGCTGCCACCCACGGGTGCCCTGGGTGTTCTGGGGTAAAAGCATCACAGTTTTCATGTTTGAATGACAAATGAATGAAAAATGAAAGTATTGTGCCCTGGGGTGTGTTTGTGCCCTCCAGGCTGGAGGGGACCTCAGCAGCCTCCTGGGGTGGATTTTCACTGGCTTGTCCCCTTTCACAGGGGTGGGTTCTCCCCACTGATGTCGTGTGGAGGATTTTGTGAGTGGGGGGTGAACCAGGTCTCACAGGGACCCTCACCCACCAGGCAGGAGAGGCCACCATGTCCCATGCATCAGACAGCCCAGGGATGGGTGAGAACTCTAGGGGAGGGATCCCATTCCAGGCTCCATGGGCTGATCCAACAGGAGAGGGTTGACCTTCTCTTGGAGAAGGGGGATCCCAGCTCCTGCTCCTGGCGTTGGACACGGGGCCCTTGGGGACCCCTGATGCTGCAGGGGCTCATTGGGCGGTGGTTGGGCAAGAGAGCCAAAGGGTCACCCTGCCACCTCCTGTGACAAGCTGGGGGTGGATGGAGTGAGATTCCCATGGGTTGTGCACCTTCCTGGTAGCTGTGTTGCCCCAGAACATGTTGTGAACCTTCCCAAGGGCTGGGAGGCCTTCCCAGCAGTTATGGATCTTCCCAAGGGTTTGTAGAACCACAGGATCATTCAGGCTGGAAAGGTTGGAAAACCCTCTAAGATCATTCAGGCCAGGAGCTGTGGAACTTCCCAAGGGCTGTGGAGCTTCCCAAAAGGGCTGTGGAGCTTCCCAAAAGGGCTGTGGAGTTCCTCAAAAGCTGTGGGTCTTCATAAGGGTTGTGGAACTTCCCACTGGCTCTGGATCTTCCCAGGGCTCTGCGCCCTCTTTAGCACCGTGTGCCCTCCCAAGGGATGCACATGGGTGGGAGGCACATGGGAGGCTGGGATGGAGGCACAGGGGCACCCAGGGGAAGGACCAAGGAGGGATTTTTGGGGATCCCCAGCCCGGTATCACTGACCCCCATCTCTTCCAGCGCCCGGCACCGCTCGATGCTGACTCTCTCCCCGGAGTGCCGCGTCCCCCCGTCCCCACGCCATGTCCCGGCGGAGCTGCCGGCCCTGTCCCTCGGCCGGGGGCTGCCCGGCCGGCCCCGCGTGTCCCCGCAGCCCCAGGCCATGAGCGGGCCCCGGCGGCGGGGAGCAGAGCTGCGGGATGGCCTCGCTGGACCTGCCCTACCGCTGCCCGCGCTGCGGCGAGCACAAGCGCTTCCGCAGCCTGTCCTCGCTGCGCGCCCACCTGGAGTACAACCACACCTACGAGACCCTCTACGTGCTCTCCAAGACCAACAGCATCTGCGACGCCGCCGTCTTCCCGCTGGCCGCCGACGCGGCCCTGCTGGCCCCGGCCGCCCGCAGGGACTACTTTGAGAGCACCTCCTTCCAGGGCAAGGACCAGCGCTTCTCCTGCGACCTGGTCCCCGCCGACGAGCTGGAGCCGGCGCCGCCGTCGTCGCCGTCGCCCCGCTATGTGCACGAGATCGAGATCCCGCTGAGCGAGATCTTCACCCGCGGCAAGGCCGTGGCGCCCGCGCCCGGCCCGCCCGCCGCCGCCGACGCGGCCTACGAGGAGGGCCTGGCCCGCCTCAAGATCCGCGCCTTCGAGAAGCTGGAGGTGGACAAGAGGCTGGAGAAGCTGACGGAGGAGGTGGAGCAGAAGATCGCCTCGCAGGTGGGCCGGCTGCAGGTGGAGCTGGACCGCAAGAGCTCGGAGCTGGAGAAGGCCAAGCAGGAGAGCCTGCGGCTGAGCCGGGAGAAGCAGGAGCTGGAGGACCGGGCCTCGGAGCTGTCCCGCCAGGTGGACGTCAGCGTGGAGATGCTGGCCTCCCTCAAGCAGGACCTGGTGCAGAAGGAGCAGGAGCTCACCCGGAAGCAGCAGTGAGTGCTTTGTCCCTGTCCCCACCACGGCGTGGGAGGAAAGGGGCGCCTGGCAGTGAGTCCTGGAGAATCTGGGGCTGCTCCATCCCTGGAGGGGTTCAAGGCCAGGTTGGACAGGGTTTGGAGCAGTGGGGAATAGTGGAAGGTGTCCCTGTCCACCCTGTCCATGGTAGGGTTGGAATGAGATGAGCTTTGAGGTCTCTTCCAATCCAAACAATTCCCTAAGTCCAGAGGAGCCCAATACCACCACCCCAGGGCCAGGGCTCAGGCCCAGCCCCTTGGTGATGCCCATCAGCATCCTCCCTGATCAGGTTCTGCATCTTCTCCCACCCACTCAGTGTCCACACAGACCTGGGCCCCTCCATGGCTGGGCATGCTGAGCCAGACCTTGTCCCAGGGCCACCAGTGCTCCCAGGACATGGCCAGGCTGGGGATCAGTGAGCCACAGACTGGTTTGGGTTGAGGGAACCTTGAATCCCACCTCGTTCCCGCCCCCTGCCATGGCCGTGCCAAATTCCAGGTTTTTCTCCCAGAGGGAGGGTGGGGCAGCCCGAGCAGTGCCACCTCCATTTGCTGCTCAGCCTGTGGCACTGCCACCCTCATTTCCACCCCAGGATTCCCACCCAACAGCCCCTGCCCACCCCAAGGCTGCTCCTGAGCTTCCCTCCAGTCCAGCACCGGGTCATTCTGCCCCTTGGTGATGTCCAAGGCAACCAGACCTCGCTCCTCAGGAGCTGGAGCAAATCTCAAGGAGGGGCCCAAATCAGTGAGGAGTTTGTGGGGACAGGCACAGCTGTGCTGGGCTGGCAGCACTGATGGGATTCCTGAAGGAATTGCTTTGATTCCCGTCATCCTCTGCACGTTTGTGAATGACTTTGACTCCAGAATAATGACCTGGCTCAGGAGCAGAGCTCCCAGGATGGGGGGACGGCCTGGGCGAGGAGCGGGGTCACCTGGGGCTGGGTAAGGACACCTCCAGGTTTGGGGACATGTTTGTGGGACAGGCACTGAGGGGTTTGGGGGCTGCCTCGTGGGTGCTGTCCAGGGGCATCCTGGGGATGAGTGGTGAGGGAATTAAGGACACCAGCGTGGTTGAGTCTGGAGCAGGGCGTGGAGACGGCTAGACAGGGTAAAGAGAGGGTCAAATGTCTCTTGGTGGAACCTGGACAATGTTGCCACCTAAAACCCTGGGTTTATGCCCCAAAACTACCTCCTGGATGTCCCATTCCTCAGAGAAACCCTCCTGCCCCTCAACTGTCCCCAGCAGCCCCCAAGGTCCTCCATCCCAAGGGACAAAATCCCTTGTGAGGCTGCAGGAGAGCATGGGAAATGCTGGTGGTGGGAGGAGGTTTTCTCCTGGATGTGAGGAAGTCATCAGAAATCATTTTAATCAGTAAAGCCTTCTCTGAAAATGCTGTGGGGACATTTCCCAGCCCTGCCAGCTCCCAGACACCATGAAGCCGTTGTCCTCCTGGGAAACCTTTGGCTCTGGGCTCCCTTTTCTCTGCCAGGAGTGTTTTTCCACCCAGTCCATGGGAATGAGAGAGACACGGGTGATAACCATCGGCATCACCTTACAGCTGCTGCCCAGCTCCACATTTGCCTTCCAAATCCCCTGGGGCCCCTTCCAGGATCCTTCCCCGAGCACCCCCAGAGCTCCCAGGCTCTGCCTGCAAGCGGCAGGCTGGGGAGAAATTGATCGATAATTAATTGGTGATTAATTGGTAATTGATAGCCAGCAGTGGGAATTGTGTCACTGAAGAGCTGCCCCCTCCTTCCCTTTGTGCTTCTGGGCAGATCATTGTGTCCAGGTGTCTGGGTCAGCTGTGTGTGATCAGGTTTGGTGTCCAGGTGTGCACAGTCAGGGCTTTGGGGTCACCTCTGTGTGATCAGGTGTCCAAGGCCAGCTGTGTGCTTGGGTTTCTGTGCTCAGGTGTGCCCAGGTGTGCCTGGTCAGGTGTGTGTGCTTGGGTTTCTGTGCCAGGTGTGAGCTAGGTGTGCCTGGTCAGGTGTGTGTGCTGGGGTTTCTGTGCTCAGGTTGGTGTGCCCAGGTGTGCCTGTCTGAGGTCAGGTGTGTGTGCTTGGGTTTCTGTGCTCAGGTGTGCCCAGGTGTGCCTGGTCAGGTGTGTGTGCTTGGGTTTCTGTGCCCAGGTGTGAGCTAGGTGTGCCTGGTCAGGTGTGTGTGCTTGGGTTTCTGTGCTCAGGTGTGAGCTAGGTGTGCCTGGTCAGGTGTGTGTGCTTGGGTTTCTGTGCTCAGGTGTGCCCAGGTGTGCCTGGTCAAGTGTGTGTGCTTGGGTTTCTGTGCTCAGGTGTGAGCTAGGTGTGCCTGTCCAAGGTCAGGTGTGTGTGCTTGGGTTTCTGTGCTCAGGTTGGTGTGCCCAGGTGTGCCTGGTCAGGTGTGTGTGCTTGGGTTTCTGTGCTCAGGTTGGTGTGCCCAGATGTGCCTGTCCAAGGCCAGGTGTGTGTGTTGGGGTTTCTGTGCTCAGGCTGGCATACCCAGGTGTGCCTGGTCCAGTGTCCGAGGTCAGGTGTGCCCCAGACAGGTGTGCAGAACTGGGTTTGTGCCTTTTCAGAGCTTCCTGGATGCTGAGGGGAGGTGTGAGCAGCTCTGTGGGTGTGTGTGCACCACCAGCAGTGCAGGTGTGAGCAGCTGTGCCTGGGCTGTGTTCACCTGGGTGCTTATGGGGTCGTGACATGGTTGGGTGGGAAGGGACCCTAAATCCCACCCAGTGCCACCCCTGCCATGGCAGGGACACCTCCCACAGTCCCAGGCTGCTCCAAGCCCTGTCCAGCCTGGCCTTGGGCACTGCCAGGGATCCAGGGGCAGCCACAGCTGCTCTGGGCACCTGTGCCAGGGCCTGCCCACCCTGCCCATGCTGCCTGTCCTTGTGTGTGTGCCTGTCCATGTGTGCCTGGCTGTGTCTGTGTGTGTGCCTGGCTGGGTGTGCCACACTGAGTGCTGGCTTTGTGCTCTCCTGGGGCACTCAGGTGTGCAGGACAGGGCTCTGTGTGTGTTTGTGTGTGTATGCCTGTCCATGTGTGCCTGGCAGTGTCTGTGTGTGTGCCACGCTGTGTGTGTGCCTGGTTCTGTGTGTGTGCCACGCTGAGTGCTGGCTTTGTGCTCTCCTGGGGGGCAGGACAGGGCTCTGTGTGTGTTTGTGTGTGTATGCCTGTCCATGTGTGCCTGGCAGTGTCTGTGTGTGTGCCACGCTGTGTGTGTGCCTGGTTCTGTGTGTGTGCCACGCTGAGTGCTGGCTTTGTGCTCTCCTGGGGGGCAGGACAGGGCTCTGTGTGTGTTTGTGTGTGTATGCCTGTCCATGTGTGCCTGGCAGTGTCTGTGTGTGTGCCACGCTGTGTGTGTGCCTGGTTCTGTGTGTGTGCCACGCTGAGTGCTGGCTTTGTGCTCTCCTGGGGGGCAGGACAGGGCTCTGTGTGTGTTTGTGTGTGTACCTGGTGCACACCTGGGTGTTCCTGGAGCACATCCATGTGCAGGGGTGTGATGGCCACGTGTGTTGGGGCCGTGTGGCCTCACGGGTGTGTCTGTGCCCGTGCCCCCGTGTGCCTCCCTGGTTTTGGGGAGCAAATAAGGACAGTGGGTGTTTGTGCTGGGTGGGGTCAGCTGGGGTCACGGAGCTGCTGTCACACAGTTTGGGGGAAACAGCCGTGCTGCAGGCTCGAAGCTCCCGAGCACCTGCTAATTAATGTGTTAATGAGGGAGCCGGGGCCCTGCGACCACCGGGCTGAGCAGGGTTTAAGGGTTTCGCTGCCATCCTCCTCCCTCACCCTGTCACACCATCATCATCCTCTTCCCTCTGCTCCATCGTGCTCAGGAGCTGATTCCAGTCCTGGGAGCAACGGATGAGATGCTGGGGATGTCACCTCACCCCCAAAACAACAACACCCCCTGCATGCTGGGAGCATCCCTCCATCCCTGTCCTGCCCCAGCCCAGCCCAGGGGCACAGACCCGGACCAGGCTGGGGACAGAACAGCCCAGGTGTGCTCAGGTGTTCCCAGGTGTGCTCAGGTGTGCCCAGGTGTGTCCCAGCTGCACACAGAGCAGGAGGGGCTGAGCAGGGTGGGGATGGAACAGCCCAGGTGTGCCCAGGTGTGCCCAGGTGTGCTCAGGTGTGCTCAGGTGTTCCCAGCTGCACACTGGGCTGCAGGCACTGAGCGGGGTGGGGATGGAGCAGCCCAGGTGTGCTCAGGTGTGCCCAGGTGTGCTCAGGTGTGCCCCAGCTGCACACTGGGCTGCAGGCACTGAGCAGGGTGGGGATGGAACAGCCCAGGTGTGCTCAGGTGTGTCCCAGCTGCACACAGGGCTGGAGGAGCTGAGCAGGGTGGGGATGGAACAGCCCAGGTGTGCTCAGGTGTGCTCAGGTGTGCCCAGGTGTGCTCAGGTGTGTCCCAGCTGCACACAGGGCTGCAGGCACTGAGCGGGGTGGGGATGGAGCAACCCAGGTGTGCTCAGGTGTGCCCAGGTGTGCCCAGGTGTGCCCAGGTGTGCCCAGGTGTGTCCCAGCTGCACACAGAGCAGGAGGGGCTGAGCAGGGTGGGGATGGAGCAACCCAGGTGTGCCCAGGTGTGCCCAGGTGTGCCCAGGTGTGCTCAGATGTGCCCCAGCTGCACACTGGGCTGCAGGCACTGAGCGGGTTGGGGTGAAGCCGCGGGGACGCGCGGGCAGCCCGGGTGTCACGGCGGGTCCCTGTGGCAGGGAGGTGCTGCAGATCGATCAGTTCCTGAAGGAGACGGCGGCGCGGGAGGCCAACGCCAAGGTGCGGCTGCAGCACTTCATCGAGGAGCTGCTGGACCGCGCCGACCGCGCCGAGAAGCAGCTGCAGATCATCAGCAGCAGCTGCGGCACCACCCCCAACGGCAGCCTGGGCCGCTGCGGCACCCCGGCCACCAAGGCCATCGCCCGAGCGGGACCTCTGCGGGCACAGGCACGGCACGGCCTCGGCAGCGCGCCCGGGGCCTCGGGAATCAGCTCGGGGCTTCGGGAATGCGCCCGGGGGCTTCGGGAATCAGCCCGGGGGATTCGGGAATCAGCCCAGGGCTTGGGGAGAGCGTCCGGGGCCTCGGGAATGCGCCCGGGGGATTCGGGAATCAGCCCGGGGCTTGGGGAATGCGCCTGGGGATTCGGGAATCAGCCCGGGGCTTGGGGAATGCGCCCGGGGGCGGCTTCGGGAATTCACCCTCTGCTTCGGGAGTGCGCCCGGGGGCTTTGAGAATGTGCCATGGGCTTCGGGAATGAGCCCGGGGGGCTTCGGGGGCTTGCCCGGGGTTTGGGAGCGCGCCCGGGGCATCGGGAATTCACCTTCTGCTTCGGGAATTCACCTTCTGCTTCGGGAATTCACCCTCTGCTTCGGGAATGCGCCCGGGGGATTCGGGAATGCGCCCGGGACTTCGGGAATCAGCCCGGGGGATTCGGGAGCGCGCTTGGGGGGGGCTTCGGGAATTCCCCCTCTGCTTCGGGAATGCGCCTGGGGCTTCCATAACGCACCCCTGGCCTCAGGAGTGTGCCCCTGGGTGTCCTGTGCCGGGCCCAAGCGGGGCTCTGTAGGGACCCCATCCCCTTCCCCTGGGGAGTGGATAATCCCGGGGCTCCCAAAGAGAAGCTGTTTCCCGTGGGTCGGTGTTCCCGTGGCGCTGGGTGAGGGGGCCCCCCAAGGCAGCTGGCACTGGTGGGCGAGCGGGGTGCCCTCCCTCGCTGGGAGTGCCACGTTGGCCCCTCTTGTCCCCTGTCCCCGCAGAGAGAGCGGCACCCGGGCCCGGCAGTGGCCGTGCACGGTCCCTACGGCGGCGTGGCCAACCAGCGCTCCTCCTCCAGCACCGGGTGAGTGCCCAGCCCCACCCTCCGGGATTGCAACGGCACTGAAACGGGATTTTAACAGGATTTTAGGGATTGTAACTGGATTTTAACGGGATTTTAACGGGATTTTAACGGGATGGTGGGTAAGGGTGCACGCCTGGTGAGCCCTGAGCTGAGACATCCCCTACTGGAATAATTGCCAGTATAGCCAGACGGGACGTGCCTGAGCTTGTCTGGCCACTGCTGCCTGACCAAATAGCAGCACTGTGGTGTTTTACCCCAGAAACACTTTGGCTGCCTGGGTGTGTGGTGTTTCACCCCACAGACACTTTTGGCTGCCTGGGTGTGTGGTGTTTCACCCCAGAGACACTTTGGCCAGCTGGATGCTGCAGCTGGACACATGGGGACAAGTCCAGTCTTGCAGGAGCTCTGGTGCTGCTGGGATGGAGCTTCCCCCCATAACAGGGGCTGCTCCTCAGGTTTCCCTCTGTGGAGAAGCTTTAAGGTGATGGTGAAGGAAAGGAGTCGGTTCTGATGGAGGGTTTGGATCCAGAGCTTTATTCTGGCCCTCAGGCCTCTGAATGCAGCACCAGCTCCCACAGAACTCCCTGAGCCCGTGGCTGCTGCTCCTTTGAATCCCGGGGAGAGGGGAGGGAAGGGGCAGGGAGCCACCAACCCGGTACACAGAAGGACTCTCAAGGGACAAAGGACACCTGGATGGCCCAATGCCCCTCCAGGGGTAGGGAGCATCTTTTGAATTCTGCCAATCACTCTGGAATGCCAGGACTGACAGACAGTGCTCGGCAGGGGCCAGGGAGGGGAAAGGAGAGGTGACTGACACACCTGGGGAAGGAATGTTCAGGGAGAAACCCGGGGTGTCTGAGACAAACCCCGACATCCCAGCACAACAATCCCGGGGTATCTGAGGCAAACCCCGACATCCCAGCACAACAATCCCGGGGTGTCAGAGACAAACCCCGACATCCCAGCACAACAATCCCAGGGTGTCTGAGGCAAACCCCGACATCCCAGCACAACAATCCCGGGGTATCTGAGGCAAACCCCGATACCACAGCACAACAATCCCGGGGTGTCTGAGACAAACCCCAACATCCCAGCACAACAATCCCGGGGTGTCTGAGGCAAACCCCCATACCACAGCACAACAATCCCGGAGTGTCTGAGACAAACCCCGACATCCCAGCACAACAATCCCGGGGTATCTGAGGCAAACCCCGACATCCCAGCACAACAATCCCGTCCGCAGGGCCTCGAGCCGGGCCAAGGCGGTGTCACAGAGCTCGGGCTGCTACGACAGCGACAGCGCGGAGCCGTGTCCCACGGACGACACGGCCGAGGGCCCCCCGTACCCGGCCCGGGAGGCGCGGGGCTCGGGGCTGCGGCGCCAGGCCATCCAGAACTGGCACCGCCGGCCCTACCGCAACAGCACCGAGGGCGAGGAGGGCGACGTGTCCGACGTGGGCTCCCGCACCACCGAGTCCGAGGCCGAGGCCTGGGAGCCCGAGGGACCGGGATCCGCCCTGGCCCGACCGCCTGGTGGCTGCCGCCTGACCGGTGAGAGCACTGAGGGTCCTGGGGCCGGGAGGGGACGGGAGAGAGAGCACAGGGGGTGTTTGGGGCTGGGAGGTGAAGGGGATGAGAGCACTGAGGGTCTTTGGGGCCGGGAGGTGAAGGGGGTGAGGGGTGAAGGGGGTGAGAGCACTGAGGGTCCTGGGGCCAGGAAGGGAAAGGAGAGAGAGCACAGGGGGTCTTTGGGGCTGGGAGGTGAAGGGGGTGAGAGCACTGAGGGTGTTTGAGGCTGGGAGGTGAAAGGGGTGAGAGCACTGAGGGTGTTTGGGGCTGGGAGGTGAAGGGGGTGAGAGCCCTGAGGGTCCTGGGGCTGGGAGGTGAAGGGGATGAGAGCACTGAGGGTGTTTGGGGCCGGGAGGTGAAGGGGGTGAGAGCACTGAGGGTGTTTGGGGCTGGGAGGTGAAGGGGGTGAGAGCACTGAGGGTGTTTGGGGCTGGGAGGTGAAGGGGGTGAGAGCACTGAGGGTGTTTGGGGCTGGGAGGTGAAGGGGGTGAGAGCACTGAGGGTGTTTGGGGCTGGGAGGTGAAGGGGGTGAGAGCACTGAGGGTGTTTGGGGCTGGGAGGTGAAGGGGGTGAGAGCACTGAGGGTGTTTGGGGCTGGGAGGTGAAGGGGGTGAGAGCACTGAGGGTCCTGGGGCCGGGAGGTGAAGGCTGGGGCAGCTGAAGCCGTGGCACAGGGATGGAGCTTCCCTCAGCCAGGGATGGAGCCTCCCTGACCCGCTGTTCTCCCCAGTGGCCACGGACGCTGTGTGTCCCGCGGGCAGGCCCGAGGGGGCCGGGGGCAAGGTGTGCCGGCTGGAGCGGGGCAGCCCTGGCCACTGCAGCGAGGTGATCAGCCCCGAGATCCTCAAGATGAGGGCGGCTCTCTTCTGCATCTTCACCTACCTGGATACCAAGACCCTGCTGCGCGCGGCCGAGGTGTGCAAGGACTGGAAGTTCGTGGCCCGGCACCCGGCCGTGTGGACGCGGGTGCTGCTGGAGAATGCCAGGGTCTCCTCCAAGGTACTGGGGAGGGGGTGGCACTACCTGGGGCACGGCCTTTCTTCCAGAAGGGTAAAGCTGGGTGAGCATCTCCCTGGTGGCTGGGATGGTTGTGCCATTACGGTCACGGGGGACACAGGTGGGTGCTTGCTCCGGTGCTGGAGGTGTTGCAGGTGAATGCTGGAGGACAGGAGCTCACACCAGCACAGGTTTGCATGTGCTTTTGTGGTCACGCCCATGAATTTGTGGTCATAACCCATGGTTTTGTGGTCACACCCATGAATTTGTGGTCACACCCATGAATTTGTGGTCATACCCATGGTTTTGCAGTCACACCCATGAGTTTGTGGTCACGCCCATGGTTTTGTGGTCATACCCATGGTTTTGTGGCACATGCTCTGCCATGGCCTCGTGTGTGCATCTCCACCCGTTTCTGCCACGTGTGTGCACAGCCAGGGGTGGGTGGTGTGGGACGTGCTGGGGTGTCCCTGGGAGTGACTGCCACCCCTGTGCCCCAGTTCCTGGCCATGCTGTCCCAGTGGTGCACCCAGATGCATTCCCTCACCCTCCAAAACTTGAAGCCGCGCCAGCGGGGCAAGAAGGAGAGCAAGGAGGATTACATGAAGAGCACACGGTGAGTCCCCGTGTCCCTCTGTCCCTGTGTCCCCCTGTCCTTGGGTCCCCCTGTCCCCATGTCTCCATGTCCCCGTGTCCCCCTGTCCCCGTGTCCCCCTGTCCCCGTGTCCCCTGTCCCCATGTCCCCCTGTCCCTGGGTCCCCCTGTCCCTGGGTCCCCCTGTCCTTGGGTCCCCCTGTCCCCGTGTCCCCCTGTCCCCGTGTCCCCTGTCCCTGTGTCCCCCTGTCTCTTTGTCCCCGTGTCCCCGTGTCCCCCTGTCTCTGTGTCCCCGTGTCCCCTGTCTCTGTGTCCCCGTGTCCCCCTGTCCCCGTGTCCCCCTGTCCCTGTGTCCCCCTCCCACAGTTGGAGCTGCTGCTCCTCAGGGCTGCTGCTGCAGCTCCCTGAGCCCCAACATTTCCACAACAAATCTGCTGTGGGATTGGGGTGTTCTGGAGCCAGGGGTGCCCGTGGGCCGTGTCCCCCTCCTGGGCAGGTCACAGGCAGGGTGGGCAGGGCTCCTGTGCCCGATGCTGGCTCTGTGCTGGCAGGGGCTGCCTGGAAGCAGGGCTGGAGTCGCTGCTGAAGGCCACGGGCAGCAACCTGCTGATCCTGCGCATCTCGCACTGCCCCAACGTGCTGACCGACCGCTCGCTCTGGCTGGCCAGCTGCTACTGCCGCGCCCTGCAGGCCGTCACCTACCGGTGAGCATGGCCCCGTGCCACCCCAGAGTGGGACAGGGATGGGGACACCATGGGGCGGGACTGGGGGCACCAGGGGACGGGGATGGGGACACCATGGGGATGGGGCTGGGGACACCATGGGGATGGGGCTGGGGGCACCAGGGGGATGGGGCTGGGGGCACCAGGGGGACAGGGATGGGGACACCATGGGGATGGGGCTGGGGGCACCATGGGGATGGGGCTGGGGACACCATGGGGACGGGGCTGGGGGCACCATGGGGATGGGGCTAGGGACACCAGGGGGGTGGGGCTGGGGGCACCAGGGGGATGGGGCTGGGAGCACCAAGGGGGATGGGGCTGGGAACACAATGGGGACAGGGATGGGAACACCAGGGGGACGGGGCTGGGGGCACCAGGGGACAGGGATGGGGACACCAGGGGACGGGGCTGGGAACACCCATGGGGATGGGGCTGGGGACACCCATGGGGATGGGGCTGGGGACACCATGGGGATGGGGCTGGGGACACAATGGGGACAGGGCTGGGGACACCAGGGGACAGGGCTGGGAACGCCAGGGGACAGGGCTGGGGACACCACAGGGTGTGCTGAGATCACCCCTGTTCCCTGGCAGAGCACAGGGACAGGACTGGGGACACCATGGGCTGTGGTGCGGGGATCACCCCCATTCCCTGGCAGAGCATAGCCCAGCTGCCCAGCTGCAAGGACCTGCCTGTCCATGGCAGCCCCAGGGTCCCCAGTGTCCCCAGTGGCAGCTGTCCCTGCAGCTCCCATCCCTCCAGGCTGCTCCCATGCAGGTGTTTCACTTCCAGCTCCATTCCCACCACCCCATTACTGATCTCATCCTGGCTGGATGGGCTGGGGGCCTGGCAAGGAGGCACCACTTTGTGGCAGAGGAGGGTGAGGAGGAGGTGCCCAGTGGGGTCCCCCCTGGCTGTCCCCCCTGATGAAGGATCCTAGTGGAGAGAAGAGGCTCAGGGTCCCTCTCTCCTGGGAGGGAGGAGCAGCTCTGCCCAGGGAGAGCTAAGATTCAGCTTGGACACCTTGCCTGAGGCCAAGGACACAGGACTCACAATGACCCTGGAGGAGCTCACAGGTCCTGGAGGGCGTCACTGGCCACTCCTTAGTTTTGGCCACCTGTGGAGACAGGATTGGCCTTCCCTCCAGCCTCCAGAGGGCTGATCCTGGCCCTGCTGCACCTGCAGACAACCACCTCAGCCTTGGTGTCTGTTCCACCTGCTCCTCATGCAGCCAGGACAGAGAATCCTCCAGGTGGGAAAGCACATCCAGCCACTCCCCTGGTGTGGCCCCAGGAGCTCAGAGCTGGCTCTGACCCACACCACGAGACAGGAGACAGCCCAGAGCTGCCAGGTTGGACTCCAGGGCTGCTCCTTTGGCTGTTCCCAGGGCAGCAGAGTGAGCCTGAGCTCTCCTGGCACATCCTGAGCCGTGCCTGTGACTCACGCTCTGATTAACCTGCTGCTCTTGGCACCCTGCTCCAGCACAGAGCTGTGAGGCACTCCAGATAACACCCAGCCTTATTTTTAGTTCTGAAGTGGGACATTTAGACTTGGGAAGCACAGCCTCGGTCCCTGGGAGGTTCCTGGTGTGGTGGCACAGCCTGGGGACTGTTTGGGCTGGTGGCAGCAGGGTGGTGCTCTCTGGCACCTCTCCCCAGAGCTGGGCTCCACCCCAGCTCACGACCAACCCACACCTGCCCCAGTGCTGCCCAGGACCCAGGGGGCCCCTCCTGGCACCTCCAAGGACACCAAGGAGGAGCCACAGCAAAGCCCTGCAGGGACATTTGGCCAAGAGCCACCTACAGCCACGGTGGCACAGCCACAGAGCAGGGACAGAGGCCACAGAGCAGCCCCTGCCCCTGGCTGGGGGGTCCTTCCAGCCCTGGCACTGTCCCCATCCCAGCCAGGAGGTGGCAAGGGACAGCAACGCCGTGTGACTGCAGGGACAGGGACAGGCTCTGTCCCTGCAGGGACACACGGCCTGGCAGCCCCAGCCAGTCACTTGTCACCTTGCATGTGGAAGGTGCACCTCCAGAACCTTCCATGTTCAACCTCTCCTTCCTCCCTGCTGCCCCTCTTCGCCTCCAGAACCTTCCATGTTCAACCTCCTCTCCATCCCTGCTGCCCCTCTTCGCCTCCAGAACCTTCCATGTTCAACCTCTCCATCCCTGCTGCCCCTCTTCACCTCGAGAACCTTCCATGTTCAACCTCCCCTTCCTCCCTGCTGCCCCTCTTCCCCCCCTCCTGCCCTGCACCATTCCAGGTGGGAATGCTCCAGCCCTCCTGCACAGGGTCCTGCTGGGCTGGCTGCTCCAGGCAGCTCCTGGGCTGTCAATAATGCCCAGACTGGCACCCCTGGGTGCTCCTGAGCTGTCAATAATGCCCAGACTGGCACCCCTGGGTGCTCCTGGGCTGTCAATAATGCCCAGACTGGCACCCCTGGGTGCTCCTGGGCTGTAAATAATGCCCAGACTGGCACCCCTGATGCTCCTGGGCTGTCAATAATGCCCAGACTGGCACCCCTGGGTGCACCTGGGCTGTAAATAATGCCCAGACTGGCACCCCTGGGTGCTCCTGAGCTGTCAATAATGCCCAGACTGGCACCCCTGATGCTCCTGGGCTGTCAATAATGCCCAGACTGGCGCCCCTGGGTGCACCTGGGCTGTCAATAATGCCCAGACTGGCACCCCTGGGTGCACCTGGGCTGTCAATAATGCCCAGACTGGCGCCCCTGGGTGCTCCTGGGGGATGCAGCCCCAGCCCAGGGGTGGCACTGCCGCTGCTGGGGCCACCACGTGTCCCTGTGTTGTTGCAGGAGCTCCACAGACCCCGTGGGCCATGAAGTGATCTGGGCCCTGGGCGCAGGCTGCAGGGACATCATCTCCCTGCAGGTCGCACCTCTGCATCCCTGGTAAGGCCTGGGAATGGGCTGGGAGGGGAGGGAGCCACCCAGTGCCACCCCTGCCATGGCAGGGACACTTCCCCCTGTCCCCAAGGCACTCCAGCCTGGCCTTGGGCACTGCCAGGGGGGCACTTGGGTTAGAAGGAGACCATGCTGAGTGTGAGGGGCACCACTGAGCTGGAAAGGTTCTGCCAGATTTGCTTAGGGGATGAGGAGCAGTCCTGGAGCCCAGGCCCTGGCTCAGGAGCTCGTTCCATCCCTCCCTGTGCAAACTGGGAGTGCTGGGTGTCTGCACCTCCCTGCTGAGCTGGAGTGTTCCAGGGAGGCTGCTGACATCCAGATGAGAGGGATCTGTGCTGGGTTTGGTGGCATTGAGCATCAAAGGCCTGGCTGAGCTCTCCCTGCTCAGCAGCAGCAGCAGCAGCAGCCCTGGAGGGCCTGGCTGTTGTTGAGAGGGTGACACTGCTTGGGGGGGCACAGCAGCTGCTCTCAGTTTGGGAAAGCATTTTGGGGAGATGCTGCTGGAGCCTCCTCTGCACCCCACAGTGTCTGGGTGCTCAGGAGCTGATGGCTCACACAGCAGGACTCTCAGCTCTGTGCCTCAGGACAGTTCCTGGGCACTGTGCATGGCCGTGTCACCCCCAGGGGATGTCAGGGCCCAGAGGATGTCACCTCCAGGGGATGTCAGTGCTCAAGGGATGTCACCCCCAGAGGATGTCACCCCCAGAGGATGTCACCCTCAGGGGATGTCAGTGCTCAGGGGATGTCACCCCCCCAGGGGATGTCACCCCCAGGGGATCTCACCCCCAGGGGATGCCACATCCAGGGGATGTCAGTGCTCAGGGGATGTCACCCCCCAGGGGATGTGACCCCCGGGTGTCACAGCCTGGTGGCTCCTGTGTGCCCTGGGGGAGCAGCACATGGCACGTGGCTTCTCCACCTGAGCCAGAGCCCAGGCCCTGCTGCTGCTTTGATCCCTGCAAGCAACAGAGTTCAGGGCTGATTTGGGTCTCCAAGGTGGAATCACAGAACCCTGGAATGGGTTGGGTTGGAAGAAACCTTAAACACCTCCCAGTGCCACCCCTGCCATGGCAGGGACACCTCTCCCTGCCCCAGGGTGCCCCAGTGTCCAGCCCAGGCACTGCCAGGGCTCCAGGGGCAGCCTCAGGTGCTCTGGGCAAGGTTTGGGTGCTGGGCACACGGAGCTGCCCTGTCCCAGTGCCACCACAGCCCGGGCAGCGCCCACGTGGGGACACCCAGGGTGAGCCCCGGGTGCTGGGGCGGGAGAGCTCTGGGTGCAGCCCCTCGGGGCAGTGCCTGGGGCGGGCGGCCGTGCCACCCCAGCTGTTGTCCCCGTGTCCCCAGCCAGCAGCCCACCCGCTTCAGCAACCGCTGCCTGCAGATGATCGGGCGCTGCTGGCCCCACCTGCGCGCGCTCGGCGTCGGCGGCGCCGGCTGCGGCCTGCAGGGACTGGCCTCCCTAGGTAGGACTGGTGGGACCGTGGGTCACTGGGGTAGGGAGGGAGCTGTGGGGTCACCAACACACCCTGTGCCCCAGGCCCAGCACTCGGGATCACGGGTCACACAATGGGTCACTGCTGGGGAGGGGCTCTGGGGTCACCAGCACACCCTGTGCCCTGGGCCCAGCACTCGGGATCACGGGTCACACAATGGGTCACTGCTGGGGAGGGGCTCTGGGGTCACCAGCACACCCTGTGCCCAATGCCCAGCACTCAGGATCACGGGTCACACAATGGGTCACTGGGGAAGGGAGGGGCTCTGGGGTCACCAACACACCCTGTGCCCCATGCCCAGCACTCGGGATCATGGGTCACTGGGGAAGGGAGGGGCTCTGGGGTCACCCACACACCCTGTGCCCCATGCCCAGCACTCGGGATCATGGGTCACACAATGGGTCACTGGGGAAGGGAGGGGCTCTGGGGTCACCCACACACCCTGTGCCCCATGCCCAGCACTCGAGATCACGGGTCACAGAATGGGTCACTGGGGTGGGGAGGGGCTCTGGGGTCACCAGCACACCCTGTGCCCAATGCCCAGCACTCAGGATCATGGGTCACACAATGGGTCACTGGGGTGGGGAGGGGCTCTGGGGTCACCAGCACACCCTGTGCCCCGGGCCCAGCACTCAGGATCATGGGTCACACAATGGGTCACTGCGCTGGGGAGGGGCTCTGGGGTCAGCAATACACACTGTGCCCAATGCCCAGCACTTGGGATCATGGGTCACACAATGGGTCACTGGGGTAGGGAGGGAGCTGTGGGGTCACCAGCACACCCTGTGCCCAATGCCCCCTGTGTCACCAGCCCAGGGCACCTCCAGGCATCTCTGGACACCACAGGGACTCCAGCCCTCCCCGGGCACCACCACCCCCTCCTGCTGTGCAGGGACAAGGACAGGGCCCTTGCTGTGGGCAGGGAGGTGCTCCCTGGGGTCCCTGAGCAGAAACCCGCCCAGCCCAAGCCCCGTGGGTGCTCCTGGTGCCCCCAGCCCCTGTCCCCTCGCCGTGGCGCTGATGATGGCTGTGTCCCCCAGCCCGGAACTGCATGAGGCTGCAGGTGCTGGAGCTGGACCACGTGGCCGAGATCAACCAGGAGGTGGCAGCTGAGGTGTGCCGGGAGGGGCTCAAGGGGCTGGAGATGCTGGTGCTCACCTCCACGCCGGTGACCCCCAAGGCCCTGCTGCACTTCAACAGTGAGTACTGGGACCTGCTGGGAGCTCTCTGGGCATCCAGCATCCCCAGCAGGGATGGGCCAGGGGGAGCTGATCTTGCCTTGGGCCACGGGAGGGTGGAGACGCTCCCTCCATGGCCCCCAGGGGAACCAATCCCAATGTTTGTGACGCACTTGAGTCGTTGGCTGAAGGCATTGGCCAGGGCAGGAGGTGCAGAGCCCCAGGAGGGCCCGTCCTGGAGGCCACAGCTCAGGTGGCCATGGCTGCAATGCTGGAGCCCACCCCTGTGGGTGGCAGAGGCAAGGATGCCCAGGGGAGAGGGAGGACACCAGTTTGGGATGGTGTGGTGGTGTGAGGTCCTCAGGATGAGGTGAGAGATGAGAATTTGACTCCATGTTCTCAGAAGGCTGATTTATTATTTTATATGATATGATATATGATACATGATATGATATGGTATATTATATTATATTATATTATATTATATTATATTATATTATATTATATTATATTATATTATATTATATTATATTATATTATATTATATTATATTACGCTATATTATATTACGCTATATTACATTACGCTATATTACATTACGCTATATTACATTACGCTATATTACATTACGTTATATTATATTACGTTATATTATATTACGTTATATTATATACTAAAACTATACTAAAGAAATAGAAAGGATACATCAGAAGGCTAGACAAGAATGAATAATAAAATCTTGTGGCTGACCAGAGCGTCCCACACAGCTGGACTGGGATTGGTCATTAACTCAACACAATTCACATGGAACCAATCAAAGGTGCACCTGTTGGTGAGCAGCCTCCAGAGCACATTCCAAGCAATCAGATAATTATTATTATTTACATTTCGTTTCTGAGGCCTCTTAGCTTCTCAGGAGAAAAATCCTGGGCAAAGAAGATTTTTCAAAAAATATGATAGTGACAGGGCAGGGCAGCCAGGAGCCATCTCAGAGCCCATGGTCCCCCTGGCCAGGCCTCCTCCATCCTCAGGGAGAGGAGTGCCCACACACAGGGGGCCTTGGGGAGCTCAGGGTGGGCTCTGGGCTCCCTGCTGGCCCAGGGGAGGAGATCCAGGTGCTGTCTGTGCCCCCAGGTGTGTGCAGGAACCTCAAGTCCATCGTGGTGCAGGTGGGCATTGTGGACTACTTCAAGGAGCCCCACAGCCCCGAGGCCAGGAAGATGTTTGAAGAAATGGTGAACAAACTGCAGGTAAAGGAGCCAGTCCCAGCTCCCAGGGTGGCACCAGGGAGTGACAGGGGCAGAAATGTCCCCCTCTCCCTCCCTCACCTCTTTCCTTCCCATGGCAGGGATTTGAGGTGTTCCTCTCTCTCCCTCCCTTGTTCTGTGTCCTTCCCATGGCAGGGATTCTTCTCTTCTTCCCTTGCCCCTTTCTTCCCCATGGCAATGTTGGAGAATTGGCAAATTCATGGAGAATTTGGGGCATTCTCCCTTTTCCCTCCCTCACCCCATGGCAGGATTTGGGGCATTCCCTGTTCCCTCTCACCCCATGGCAGGATTTGGGGCATTCCCCTGTCCCCCCCTCACCCCATGGCAGGATTTGGGGTGTTCCCTGTCCCCCCCTCACCCCATGGCACGATTTGGGGTGTTCCCCTGTCCCCCCCTTACCCCATGGCAGGATTTGGGGTGTTCCCCTGTCCCCCCTCACCCCATGGCAGGATTTGGGGGGTTCCCCTGTTCCCCCTCACCCCATGTCAGGATTTGGGGCATTCCCTGTTCCCTCTCACCCCATGGCAGGATTTGGGGCGTTCCCTGTCCCACCTCACCCCATGGCAGGATCTGGGGTGTTCCCCTTTCCCCCCTCACCCCATGGCAGGATTTGGGGGGTTCCCTGTTCCTCACCCCATGGCAGGATTTGGGGCATTCCCTGTCCCCCCTCACCCCATGGCAGGATTTGGGGTGTTCCCCTGTTCCCCCTCACCCCATGGCAGGATTTGGGGTGTTCCCTGTTCCTCACTCCATGGCAGGATTTGGGGTGTTCCCTTTCCCCCCTCACCCCATGGCAGGATTTAGGGGGTTCCCCTGTCCCCCCTCACCCCATGGCAGGATTTGGGGCATTCCCCTGTCCCCCCCTTACCCCATGGCAGGATTTGGGGGGGTTCCTTTCCCCTCCCCATGGAGCAGGGGCCCTGCTGGCTGCCCCAGCCCCGCTGTCTGCTGCTCCTGTTGCAGGCCCTGAGGAAAAGACCCGGCTTCTCCAAGATTTTACACATCAAGGTGGAAGGAGGCTGTTAGCCCTTCAGGGAGCCCAAAGCACATTCCCTGCTCTGCCCTGACGGGGACCCCCGGCTCGGGCACCAGGAACCCCAAACTCGCAGCCTTTGGGGCCATCCCAGGTGACAAGGTGCTACTCAAGGACAAGTTTTGGCTGTCCCCAGAGGCAGGGCCGTGCTCTTTGCCAGGAGGAGGAGGAGGAGGATGGCTGTGCAGCCCTGCAGCTGCTCCTCCCCGAGGATCCGTGCCTGGGGACGGATGTTCTGCTGAACTCTGGTTTGGGGATCCCTGACCCCGCTCTGGGGCTCTTGGCTGGGCTGGCCACTGCAGCCCCGGGGTGCTGGACCTGGGCTGGGAAGGGGCTGCTCCTCCCGCAGCGTTCCACAGGGTTTCTGCTCCTTTTCATGTGGGATTTGGCAGGGGGCACCCAGAGCCGGGGAATGCTCCCAGGAACCAGCACAGCTCAGCACAGGCCAGGAGCAGAGCTGCACCTCGGGGAGCCACGGGACACCAGGAGAGATGGGTGCTCCTCCAGAGGCCTCCAGCCTCGCTTCCTGTCCTGCAAACCCTCCTGCCAAGGCAATAAACCATCTCCAGATCCTCACCCACCAGGAAACAGGGCTCACACTCCTGTGCCCGCCATCCCCAGAGTCCATCCAGGGTCAGTTGTCACACGTGGAGAGAGAGACTGTCACAGGACACCCACCTTTGCCTTCCTGAGCGGCCTGAAGGAGAAACCCTGGCCAGAATATCCTGAAATGATCCTGGGAACAGCACCAACCAACAGCCCTGGCTGGTCCTTATCTACAGCCACCATTTTCTAAATCTGATTTTTCTTCTGAGCTTCCTCAGCCTGCAAGGACATCATCATCCCCAAAAGATCCTTTCTCCATGGGAAAGGGCTTTGGAAAGGCATCCAGCAGGGCCAGGCATCTCCATCCTCCACCCTGGGGAGAAGGTACCAGGAGGTGGCCCTGGGACTGGGGACAGCACCAGAGCACTGCCAGCAGTGGGGACAGCCCAGCCTTACCCACAGCCCCAGCCCCTGTCCTTGGACCCAGCGGGCTGAGCAGAGAGGAAGTGACTGGGACAGTGGCTCTGGGGCCTTTCCCTCCTCTCTGGACTAGCCCTGCAGGTTTTGGTGCCTGCTGGCCAGCCTGGCCGGGAGGGGACAGCTCCCATACAGAGCCCATCCCCTGCCCAGCCCTCACATGGAGCCTCCCCCGAGGAGGGACCGGCTGCAGATCCAGCACCACGTCCCTCACCCATGGCACAAGAGCTGCTGACCTCAGCTGGGGCTGCCCCCCAGCCCCTGGGGATCCCCAGAGCACAGAAAATCACCCCCAAATGGCCGAGGCTGCTGGGGCTGGAGGCAGCTCGAGACCCTTCAGCCTCCCTCCCTCCTCAGGCTGGGTTCTGTGGCCACAGCCCCGTGGGAAGCAGCCCTGCTCCCCCTCCCATGCAGCTTTCCAGGAGAAGGCTGCTCCTGAATGCACAAAATGTGGGAGCCCCAAAATGCCTGCGAGAAGCTCCTGCACCTCCCAGGTCCCACGGACAAGCTCCTGACTCCCTGCCATGCCCACCGTGGGTTCACCTGCACCCTGGGCAGCCTGGCACACTCCTCACCCAGGGGCAGGAGGAGCAAGGGGTGCCCCCAGCAGCAAAAACCACCCAGCAGAGCTACAGCCCCCAGGGACCAGCTGGGGCAGGAGCACGGCCCGGTGGAGATGGCAGCACCACAGCGCAGGGACTCGTGGAATTCCCTTAAAAACAAAAACAGAACAAAGTACCTATTTATTTCTATAAAGAGAAGAAGGAAAATTATATACTCAGCATGTTTATACACTCTATGCTTAAAGACTCTCGTGGCCCAGAGGGGTGCCCAAGCCTGGAGGTGGCTGCTCCGGGTGTGCCTGGAGCCTCTCCTGGCTCCTGGGAGGACAAGGATGAGGAGATGGAGAGAGGGGAGGTGTGAGGACTCTCAGAGAAGCCTTCTGTGCCAGAAGAAGGGGTCAGTGGCTGTGTATGTGGTGGCATTGGTGACCCTGTGACATCCCCATCCCTGTGCTGCCCCCGGAGCTTTGGAGGCACGGCAGGACCTGGATTCCTGGTGCATCCCCAGGAGCCTCTCCTGGATTCCTGGTGCATCCCCAGGAGCAGATCAAACCCTCACCTCTCCTCGGGGCATTCCTGTAAAACCCAGCTCAGCAAAGCCACGTTTTTACACAAATCCTCTGATGACACAAGACCTTGAGCGGGTTCAAGGATGAGAAGATGGAAAGTGGGGGTTTCTCCCTGTTTCGGTTGGGCTTGAATGGATCCCTTCCTCCTCCTCCTCGGCTGGGGATGAAGGCGGCTGGCACAGTGACAGGAGCGGTGGGAAGGAGGGCCCTCCTGGTGGCTCCTAATTGCCCAGCTCGTTAACGAGCTCATTAAGGGCTCTGAAATGTCAGACGGATCCTGCCCCTGCTGCTTCCCCTGCCCTGTCCCGCAGGGGTGTGGCCCCCCCAGGCCCCATCCCCGCGGGAGGCTCCGGCCACGCTGGCCCTGGATTCACCCTGGATTCAGCCCTGGATTCACCCTGGATTCACCCTGGATTCACCCTGGATTCAGCCCTGGATTCAGCCCTGGATTCAGCCCTGGATTCAGCCCTGGATTCACCCTGGATTCAGCCCTGGATTCAGCCCTGGATTCACCCCTGGATTCAGCCCTGGATTCAGCCCTGGATTCAGCCCTGGATTCAGCCCTGGATTCAGCCCTGGATTCACCCTGGATTCAGCCCTGGATTCAGCCCTGGATTCACCCTGGATTCAGCCCTGGATTCACCCCTGGATTCACCCCTGGATTCAGCCCTGGATTCAGCCCTGGATTCAGCCCTGGATTCAGCCCTGGATTCACCCTGGATTCACCCTGGATTCAGCCCTGGATTCACCCCTGGATTCACCCCTGGATTCACCCCTGGGTTCAGCCCTGGATTCACCCCTGGGTTCAGCCCTGGATTCACCCCTGGGTTCACCCTGGAGTCACCCCTGGCTTCGCCCCTGGATTCAGCCCTGGATTCACCGGAGCCTCAGCGCCATTTTCTCTGGAAGTGATGGGAACACCCAGAAATGCCGAATTTCCTGGGAAAGCCGTCAAGGCACGCAGCACGTTCAGCTCAGCCCCGATGAGAAGTGCCAGAGGGGCTCTGCGATGACAATCCCACTAAAATCCAGGGATCCAGGGACAGGATTGGGGTCACAGCCGTGGCCAGAGCTGGCAGGGGCTGGATGGACAGTGGGTCTGAGTCTGGCTCCTGCAGGGCCAGTTCTGGAGAGATTTATTCCTTTTCTACTGCTTTTCCCAAAGTTTCTCCTGGCTGACATTGCCAGCATTCCCCTTCCCCTGAGTTTGGGCGCTGGCCAGGGATTTCAAGAGGAACAACATCACCAAAGGCAGCTTGGGGGCCAAAGCCACCCCAAATCCCTGGGTTTGTGTCCCCCTGGGTTGGATTTCACCCGTTCCCCATCACTCCCAGCCCCAGGGATGCTCTGGGAACCAGGGGCCTCCTCCTGCCTTGTCCCTGTGCCTTGGGGCTCCAGGGTGTCAGGGACTGGGGGAAAAGGGACCCCAAGCTGGCTCTGCCCCACCAGGGTTTTAAACTTCTCGTGTCTGGATCCCCCAAAAGAGCCTGGATTTAGGGAAAACATAACAAAAACACACCCAGGAGAACTGTTGGCAATGGCTCCTGAAGTGGTGAACAGAGATTTTCCTTCAGCGTTTAGGGGAGGCCCCAGCCCAGGAGCTGGAGCATTGCTTCAACCTCATTTTGGGGTGACAAACAGCAGGTTGGGGTGGAGCAAAAGCATTTGGGAATTGGTGCCAAATGAGAAAGTGCTTTAAAAGGGAAAAAATCCCAGGAAGCAGGGAGATGTTGGGAAGCAGAGATGGTTTGTTGTGAAGCATTGCAGGGTATTGTGAGGTGGTAATGGACCTTCCCCATCAGTGGGAGGCAAAATAATCCCTGGGGAGGGTGGGAGAGCACTGAGGGAAAGCTGCTGCAGCAGCGAGGAGGGAAAACTGCCCAAAAGCAAGGGAAAAAAAGGGATTTTCTAATGCAGCCTCAGGATTGAGCCCGTGGAGGGCAACGAGGCAGGTTGGGGCCGGGGACAAGTGGGTGCAATGGTGTGGGGCAGTTTTTGGGAAGCGAGGGGTGATGCACAGTTGCTTCGAGATAATCAGAGGAGATAATCAGTGCAGAGAATAGAGATATAGAAATCAGGAACTGGAATCATTCCCTACAGCCCTGGATGGCAGCGGTGTACAGCGACCTCCCCTCCCCAGAGCTTCCCGTGGCCTCCCTCCCTCCCAAGTTATTTTTTTAACTCTCTATAAATTTAGGTCTATTTTAGTCTTTCTGCAGCGATGTGCCAGTGTCTGGAGAACCAAACATCCCTTCCTGCCCCCACCCCGTGGTCCCTGGATGCTAAACCGGGCGTGGTGTGAATGAGCCGGAGCAGGGGAGGGCAGGGCAGGGCAGGGCAGCAGCGCCAGCTCCGGCCGCAGCCCGCGGGTTTAGCACTTTGGTTGGAACTCTCACCTGTAGACGCACTTTGATGTTGTTGCTTTGAAACTTTGGCAAGTGTAAACAATGTGTATTTAAAGAATTACAGAGAAACGACCCCCAGCCAAGCGTGTAAAGAGCTATTTTATGACTCGGTGTTGAATAAAGACTCTGGAGATCGAGCTGGGTTTTCACTCTCCCGGGGAGCACACTGGACCCACACCAGTGACACCAGTTGCAGCTTGGGGCTGCAGGTCCATGGGCTGCACTTGTCTGGCATCATGGGGCACGGGGACAGAGTGGGACACAGGGACAGAGTGGGACACAGGGACCGAGTGGGACAGCACAGGGACAGAGTGGGACAGCACAGGGACAGAGTGGGACACGGGGACCGAGTGGGACACAGGGACCGAGTGGGACAGCACAGGGACAGAGTGGGACAGCACAGGGACAGAGTGGGACAGCACAGGGACAGAGTGGGACACAGGGACCAAGTGGGACAGCACAGGGCAGGCCCTGGCACAGCGGCGCTGGGGCTGCCCCTGGAGCCCTGGCAGTGCCCAAGGCCAGGTCAGACACTGGGGCTGGGACCAGCCTGGGACAGTGGGAGGTGGCCCTGGATGATCTCCATGACCCCTTCTAACCCAAACCATCCCATGATTCTGTATTTCTTTCACTGTCCTCATTTAACACCTGTAACCCACCAGACCCAAGTCTCCCCCTGTTCTCCCAGCACCATTTTCCTGTCTGATTCCCCCCAAATGCCTGGATCC